CCAATATCTTAAGAGCAGCCGCAGTGGTAATCCTACATTTACAAAGCAAACTTGATACAGGCATGAAGCTGTACAGTGTGGGAGAATACTCAGAAGAGATGATACTGAAAGATTAATCCTGTGAACTGCAAAATGATCAAACTTGATGTGAAGTTGAGTTACACTATAGTCGCTATAGGAATAACTTTTCAGCTGGGGTTGTTTCCTGAAGAAGCTGAAGTGGCTGCCCTTGGGCACACTCCCACTTACAATGCCACACAAGCAGATGATAGAGGGGGGTCTTAGAGCTCAAATGTGGGCATACTGAAAAAAAAAATTCTGGTGATCCATGGAAGGGCATGGATATCTTGGTACTTCTATTACTTTAGCATTTAAAAGATTCTCTAAATGTCTCCCCTCAATCAATTCTGCTCCACTTTAAGCCTTTTACTACTGCTTCCCTCTACTCCCTGACCAGTGAGGTGCCTGGTACACATAAGCTTTGGAATGAAATCTGGATTGCACAGGAAGACTGACAGAGGGCATGGGTATCACTGTTGCAGATGCGATAGCCCCAGCAGTGGCAGTTCTGGTCACCCACCCTGCAGCAACAGCAGTGCCTGATACAGCCATGGGTAGTTACTGCAAAGGTAGATGCTGTTAGCACCAGCACTAGTAAGACACAGGCAGTGCTATTTGTAGTGATGGTTACAGAGCAAGTATGGTCACTACCAACAGAGGATATAGCTCATGGCTGTATACAGCTATATCTATATAGCTATAAATTTAATATCTGCAGCAGGTTAGCAGACAGCACATACTTAGTGCTTTAGTGTTGAAAACATGCACAACAGCAATGGTCTTTTACTTTTAGAAGACCATGAAGAACATTGGCCTGGGATTATTATTGATACTATTTGCAACGTTAAACTGGATATTAAAATTTATTTCCTGTAATTAACCTTCTTTTCTATTGAGGAGCACCTTCCAGGAAAACCATGAGAAGTCCCCACAATTGTGACAATGCCAGTTGCTCCTCATTGTGTGGCCGTATAGATGATTTATCCCTAAATATAAAACCACATTCCTCCTCTTTTTCAGTTGCATACTGTTTGCCATATCACTTCTCTGCTTTGCCTTGATCCTTCCTAATTTCAATATTCTGCTTCATGCTTCTAGGTGCTCCCATTGACATTCTCATCTGAAAACTTAACAAATGAATTCTGTATCCCATGATCCCAGTTAATAAGGACTGCTCCAGGACTTCAACTTCCTACCTGGTTTTGCACATACTCATCATAATAATATCTAAATTAATCTTCCACAGCTTGCTTATGGGAATGTCAGAGAAGGCAGTACAATTAAGATGATAAATCAGTAATCATTAATTGAAAGTACAGTATTACTCAGCTAAAGGAATTGTATGCATGAGTGGAACTGTAACTCATGTCTAGGAGAAAGGAAACTGTGCAATCACTCTGAAAGCCTATGCAGGATCTTCTTCACAGCAGAAGGTAACAGAAGTGTTGGTGCACATGCCCTTATGACCAGAGTCTCGCCAACGGCATCATAGCTATTATAGTTATACTAATAATTTTAAGGGCCATGGTAATGGTCAGGCTGTCCACAAGGGAAAAAAAATCAGTATAATAATGATCATGCAAAACGATAATGAGTATATAAATCCCAACTAACTATCCACTAGTTGGTGTGACAAATTGCTTATGAACCCTATCAGATTACCATAAGGTATCTTTACAAGATAAAAGCTATCATCAGCAAGAGAGATCATGTCCTCCACATACAAATCGGAGATGGCTGTTTTCATAGAAAGGTCTGTTCAAATCATTCTTTATTTTTTCTGACCAGGTGAGACTTCATACAAAGTGTTTCACTTTTATCCATACAATTCACACTGCTAATGAAGACCCCAAAACAGTTTTGTGGGCTGACAGCTGCACCCAAACTTGGACTTACCGAAACTCTTTGCGTGCCATGACACAGTAAGACAAATGCAGATCTGCAAAAGCAAAGCTTCAGACCATACTGGTTTGTAACAAAACTATACAGACTAAATAGATCAGCCAAATATTCTGAGGACCTACAGTGCCAGTTTCAGCATCCTGCTCTGTTAACCAGAGATTTACCTTTACAATTGTTGCAAAGCTGAGAGAGATTTCAGGCAGATTGTTCAAATTTTTCCTTCAACTAATACACATTCTTGTCAGGAATGGAACATTTTACATGGTGATATTTTGTGGTTTGGTGTAAATATTATTGTTACTTCCTGGCTATTTTAAGATTTAAATAATCACTGAATGGATGCTGAATGGCCAAAACAGTTGCCTTTTCTGCATCTGAATAAATGAGAGCTTTGCTAAGGATCTACTGGTATGGTATTTTTATTCTTTCACTGAGAGACTTCTTCAGTTCCATACTGAAACATTCCATTGCCCCAAAACAGATAAGGACAAGCAAGACCGTGTTCAAAGAAATACTTCCTGTTAAAATATATTATTTTCCTCACTAACACCTTATTTCCAATTAAAAAAGGTAGTGAATTGATCACAGTGCAAGAAACCTGTCATGAAGAGGAAACTCTGTAAGAACTGCTAACAGCGTTTCAAGTAAAACATATCAGAGGTGAGAACCTGGAGCTAGCAAGAGCTCCAATGACAAGAAATTGTGAAACAGAAGGAAAAACCCTCCTAAAAAGGCCTGGAAACACATGAGGAAACAGGACATTTTCACATTTGCATATCAAGTCTAAGAACACAGGCAAAACCAAATTCTTTGCATTAACACATCTAGAATGCTCTGATTACAGGCATACCCCTGTCATCCTCAACATATGAAATCCCCTTTCTATCATCAGCACTTCCCTCAGGCAGAGGGAACAAATATGACCCCACCATTCTCAACATCCTTTCTGGTGACTTTTTTAAAAGAGTTTTCAAATAACCATGCCATCCCATCTATGAGGTATGGTTATTTGAAAACAAATGACATTTATCCTCAGAATGGAAATTTCAACCTTTCTATCAATTTACATGCTCAGAGAGCACACTAGCCCATCAAATACCAGTTACATGCACTGAGGACACTACTCATGACAAACACTAAGCACACCAGAGAAATACACCTTGTTTTTGAAAGAGCCACATGGATACCAAATAAGAAATAGCTTTTATAAAAAACCCTCTACTCATTGTATACATTACTCTCAAATACCACCCCAAAAACTATACAAAGAACACTCAAAAAAAGCGATAATCTATGTTAGAACATCCTACCCAGCAGAAAATTTTCCCCAGAGCCATTCCTGTTAGTCTTTAAATTGCCTCCCAACCTTGGTAAGCTTATCATCAGAAGGAAGCTTTTTGTGTGAAGGAAAAAAAAAAAAGAAGAAAAAAAAACAAGTACAACTTGTCAAAACCTTTCCTTCCACCTTCCTGTAAGGACCTTCTATCCCAGACACTAGCACTCCCAGGTCTCGTACACGGGCTTACCTGGGAAGTCATATCCAGCACACAAGACACCCTCACACCCCATAGTTGAGATCAAATAACTACTAAGACCAGACTGAACTCACACAGACCACTGATAAAGCACAAGCATGCCTATCTGCTGCAAAAGCAGCTCTTCCAGGGTAATCACTCAGTCTCTGATTATCAGTCCTGATCTTCAAGAGAAACCTATAACCCATCCTCCAGCCACAAACCTAGGAAAATAAATTCATAACTTTTCCAGATAGCAAGACGCTGCTGCTCTGCCACACCTTAACCTCCCACACTATCCACATCCGACAGGTTATAAACTCTCTCTTTCTCTGCCTACATCTGGTCATTTAAACATGCCAGGAAGCATTAGATCTCTTTCCCTGAGAAGACAGTATCATGTAATTTCTGCTTTCCTACAAATTATCATTTCCACGTTGAACTTGCCGGCTCCATTTCCTTTCAAAGACAATCTCACAGATATTGACTCAAAACTCCGAGGAGTTTTCTCAATTTTCATTTCATTCTGAGAGCAAGCTGTCACTTTTAGGTCAAGGCTGAAAGGTAGTTGCATGCCTGAAAGTTTTTCTCCTTTTCAAACTGCACTGTTTAGTCTAATGAAAGACATTACCTCTGCATATGTCCTTAGACATCATGGCCAGAACAATGCTACTACATTTTTATACAGTTTAAAAATCAAGCCATATTTACATTCCAAGGAAACTTCTAATACTTATAAAATGTTTCAAAACATGATTTTAAATCCCTGAAGGTTTAAAGACACATTGTCCTTCTGAAATCACTAGGACTGTGGAAATTGGAGTGATATTTTATGAGGCTACTGTAAAATTCTGGTTTTCCAACTTCAGCATTTTACAAGTCATCACTATCCTCAAAGGTTTCAAAATAGATCAGAAAGTGCTCCTTGCCATTAGAGTAAGATAAAGTTAGAAAGATGCAGAAACTCTTCTTTGCTTAATATCACAAAAAGAGCTGTCCTAATCATCAATCCTCGACAAATCAATCAGCCCCAACCTCTGATGGGAGTAATCATGACCATACTCAGACGGTGAGAAAACAAATATGTATCAAAATGACTTGACATTCAAATGTCTTCTCTCTCTCAACTTTCTATTCACCATTACAACTAACTCCAATTGCCCTTGTTAAGTATTCCATGAGATACGGCATTTACATTTGAATACCCTCTTGTTCACCTTTTTCCTCCCTGAGACCTGCTTTCTGTAGAAACTATGGTCCAAATCTGGAGATGTAAAAAGCCAACAGACACGCACCTCTGTTCACTCCTCAACATTCACACACGTGCACAGAGGCATGCAGAGTCACAAACTTACTAATAAAATTATTTACCCATTTAAAATAGAATACATGTTTCAGAAAACATTTGAACCATTGTATAGGGGGCAAAAGTTCCACTAACCAAATACTAATTTCAAATTCTAATTGAAAGCCTGTCAGTGTGCCTACACTCACATTGTATGAAAAAACGACCTACACTCTTACCATCATGATTAGAATTTCCCAGGGTCCATGGCTCATCTGAATCGAAGTGAGTATCTCCTCCTATTCCTGGTCCAGGAAAGTAAGCATGAGCTAGGAATCCACCTTCTCCATCAAATGGAGAACTGTCTCCATGGAAACCAGAAGCAAAAAATATCATAATATCTGCCTCCTTTCTGTCATTTTTAATTTCATGGTAAGGGACCTCTTCAAATGTAAGTGGTGTCACTCTCTGCCAAACATCAAATGCCTGACGAATGGCTCTTCTTGTATCAATCTCTCCAACCTTGGGGGTATAGTTGTGTACACTGTGTGAATGAAAAAGAAGGGTTGTTAAAATTTGCAGAATATATTTGAGACTTCTTATTGTAATTCCAATTACATAGCCACATCTACACATTTTCCATTTTCAAAGGGTCTTTATTTTTAACAGCAAAACTTTGCATGTACCAAGTATTGTCTGCAAAAAATAAAGTTACCAACAAAACTACAGCTCTGATCTGAAGTCTGCATTTATTAATAAGAACTCTCCCAATACTTGGGTTGATTTTGCATCGCTTCCTAAAAACCTGACAACCTTTCAAATCTTGGTGTAGACAGCTAAGTAACTTAGTTTAAAAATGTAAATTACTTCAGATTTTGTCTGAAATTATCATGCTAAAATGGAACCCAATGTATAAAAAAACCTGACTACTAAAATTCTTTTTGAGAAACAAACCTTTCAGTAAACTATACAAGCTTACTTATATGAGCAACTTGATTCTCAGGACTACTTAAAATACTTAAGAGCTCAGAGGAATGATGGACCTGCCAGTTTTGTGCAATCCAGTCCATGACAGCTGGTGATACCGAGTTGGGTGGGGGAAGTTTAACTGCACATACATTTTCCATAATTGTAAACTTTAGCTTAAAAAGTGATGTTCATAAGGTGGTTTTTGTATGTACATATATAATAGACTCAAGACCTGTTAAACTTGTCTTGGGGAATATGAAATAACTATATCATGGAAACAACTTTCAGTCTTTAATGAATCTGGCTCAATTTAGTATAATGATTGACAGATGAAAGACACTGTAATGCATTCAGTGTTAAACAAGGTATCTATCACTTCAATGACACACTACAAATACTGAAATTAAGTTAAACAACTACTAGTTTGACAATGGCAGAAGTGAAGCCAACTGTCAACCTGCTTCCTGCAGTTATACATACACTTATGAGTTGTTTTATTTATACGATTATATACCAGTTTTCTCTAAGGTCCAGAAAAGGTTAGAATCAGGATCTGACTCTCAGATCTTCACATACAGAAGGTGTTCTTTTACAATTTGAGGTGAAGGAATGATTATTGGTGAAAGTTCTGAACTAGTTCCAAGAACTGGTTCCTCCTCCCAGTCTCTGCAATCACTCACTTATCTGAGGAACCCTCCTCCTTTCTCAGAGCTCTCAGCAGAAGCAACAGAGTGTCCCAGTCCCTAATTTTCTTTCCCTTCACACCATCATATCTCTTTCTACACATTCTGGCACCTTCCCCATGCTAGTCACTCATATTTCTATCTCTTCACCATAGACTTTCTTTCTGTCTTAGCCTTGCTCACCCATATCTTCTCCTGCTAATTTTTACTTCTCTGCAATCTCCTTTCCCCCTCAAAAAAAAAAAAAAATCAGAAGGCTATACTTTCAACTAGAGGGGTGTTTAATTTTATTCTGAAGTGACATTCATGTCGTCAGAAACTTCCATTGGCATAATTCAGCAACTGCCTTTCAAAAGCTAAAGGCCTAAATGACTCAAATAAAACACACCTCTGGGAAACAACCATCACTACATAACATTCATTTGACACCTGTAGCCCACTTCAGCATATTGCCTCAGCAGGCCTCAGTTTGGACAAAAGCAAGAGTTCTACTACATGAGCAGAAGTAAAACCTCTGCAAAAATAAATATTCAGTAAAATGTTACAAATCGGTAGAGGGAGAAAGCATCACACCTTTAGACCCTGATGTTCCTTCTGCTTTAATGGTTTGTTAAAGACAACGCATGATCTAAGGGCTAGAGCCTTAGATTTCTAAGGGAACAGAAAGCGGTTTACTAGGATTTTCCTGCAAAAACTACACAATTGATGGCTGGGAATTAGAAGTCTTTACTGATCAGTTATTTTCTAATTGAGAATAGACTCTTCGGTTACTCCAGTGCTCTGAAGGTATCCCCTCCACCACATTTTGAAAATGAAAGCCTCAACTAGGCATCACAGCGAAAATGCAATTTTTAAAAGTACTTACAAAATTTGCATACCAAACAAGTACAGAATATTTTTCTCTCAAAACAAAAAGGGGGGCAGGGAGAGGGATATACCTGTAGGTTATATGCTTCTGCCTCCACTTTTGTCCCGTTAGCGCATACCGCTTTTTCCTCCGGCTATGGCGTAGGTGGGGATGATCTGGAACTCCACACCGAGGCTTCTTCATCCACCTGGAAGGGAAGAAAAAGCCAGCTAACAGAGGTTGAAAAACAGATTCAAAAGAAGTCAGAGGGTGACTGGAAGACCTCTAAGCCTAAACAATGTATATCTTATCTATCAAAAATACTAGCTCCACACCTTCAGGATGTCTTCCCATCACCAGTAGATGGTTTACAAGACTTCTTTCTGGAACACCTTTTAAACAAAGAACAAATAGACAGACACTTTGCCTTGCACAGCCTCATAAGAACATTCTTTCACAGCCCACATACCTGCTCACAGTTCAGGCAGCCAAGCAGCTGACCTTTCCTTAGTCCACTTCCTAGATGTAAAAACTACAGGTCCTTACAAATTTCAGTGCAGTCATCTGTCAACTTCTGCCCACCAAAAACAGAGCAAGTAAGAGTTGTCAGGTACAGAACAGTATGTATAACAAGAACCCAATCTATGTATATAAAGCTAGCACAGATCTTCCCCACTTACATTACTTTACATTTATCAGTATGGTATGTCTTTCAGAAATCTAAGAAACCTGTGGAAAACAGATCTGTCTTGCCCACACAACTGCTGCCACCTTCAAAGAAAAGTGGTGCATCTAAGGTTTGCTTTTAGAAAAGCCTTATTAATTCAACCTCAATACACTATTTTTCCAAGTGTCCTTTATTTGTGTTCTTTTTCATTGCTTCTACTACTTCTCCTACATCTCTAGAGATATGTTAGGCTTACTGTAGCCTGCTCTCTCCTAGATACTTCTCAAGTATTTTTTTTTCATTTACAGTCATGATACAGTACAGAGTTTTTAGCATAGCCTTATACAAACCATAGTGTGAATTAGGTTCTCACCTCTTAAGCTTCATGAGAACCCCAGTACTCTGAACATCACCACCATCAGACCCAATTACAGTCAGAAAATTACCTTCTCTTTTCTCTTTACTAGTATAATCTAGAAGACACAAAGGTAACAGGGGAGCGCTACCAAACCAACGTGGATGTGTAGGACAAGTCACCAGGACTTCCCAGGACAGAGCTAGCTGTGCTGACACACCAGCAATACACCACCAAGTTCCTCACACCCCAACATCCATTTCATGCATGATCACCAGCTGCCCCTTCCCAACACCTGCCCTATGCTGAGCAGGCTGTGGGAAATCGGCCCCCACACAGCTCAGCCCCATACTATCAAAGCCAATCAGAACTGCACAGAGACCCAGCCAAAAGTTAATTCCCTCAAAGATAGTCAAATTACCTGCCCTTATGCCAGCTACATCACAACATAGGGACATGTGGCAGAGCATGGGGCTGTTCCAGAGACAAGCTGCAATACTGGCACCCTGGGCTTTTTTGGGCTTCTTGAGCCAAAGCCTCCAAAGTATCAGCATTTGCAGAGCTGTTGATAGACTTATGCTACCTCATGGCTGCCTAACTCCTCTTTCAACCCCATTACACTTAGGCCTGTCTGAACCCCCATATTCTACCACAGTTTGTTCCAGAAGTCAGCTACACACTTTCTGAAACAGACTTTGTAAAAAAGCCCAACTACCTGGTTAAAGCTAGGCAGTACCCAAGTTGTCAACAGCCTGTGCTAATGTCAAGCTGAGAATAAATCTGGATCAGTTCTCTGATTCAACTTTCTTCCCAGACATATGGGCCCTAATCTAATCACATGGGCCAGGGTACAAGTCCAGCCATCTCTTCTTTTCTCAGGAATGCAGATCTATGGCAAAATAATCACAAAGCTGTAGCTTGCTGCTCTTGATCTTCTTTAGCTGAGCTTTTTGACAGCTGTTCTCTACTGAGCAGTTTGGATAAATCTGTGTTCTAGCAGATTTATAAAAACATACCACATCAGAAACAACAATAAAAGGCAATCACTTGAAGCAGGATTCAGATACTTATGGTGGCTTGCCCCCTCCCCCATCCCCCCTTTTTTTTATTTCAGCGAGGGCACCAATAACACTGGATGATCAAAATTTATACTCAGCAGTTTACACATAAACTATTGCATCACTTCAGCTGCTTGACATGCAGAAAACGTGTAATTTCCAAAAGCAGTGACATACAGCTCTTGTCCAGATACAGCTGCTTTCACCAGTTCAGCCTCCAAGACCTCCACAAGCCTCGCCTAAACAGAGGAAGCTGTCATTCTCAGTCCCCTACTGTTGAGCTGGTGGGAGTGGTATCTTTAAACATGTGTTGTGCATCCCAAGATGAGGGACCTACACAACAGGCTCAAGACAAAGCACAATACACACAAGACATTTCTAACACAAGTAAGGCTATTTCTTGGTTACCTCCAGGGCCATGTGACTGATTATGACAAACACAACAGTTACCACCTTTGTTCTGCGCCAACATGACTTCTCTACCACCATGCTCCCAAGAGTACATCCTTCCCTAGCTGCTGAGCAAAACTACAGTTCAACCCACTAGCTGCAGGCAAACACAAAGTTTGCTGAGGCACTGCAAATTGCAAGGTACTAGGAGGCCATTTTATACCTTCTCCCCTTCTCTCCTTATAGGAAACTACATATCCTCAACTTGCTACCTCAAGACAGCCCTTCTGCTGAACAGACTCTCACCCCACCTTCCTTCTGGGTACCAGTAAGCAACACCAATGGTGTTCCTTCCCATTTCCCACTCCCACTAGCAGCACCTGCATGGTAACTTTCACATACTTGGGTACCACTCTTGGAGGAAAGAATAAGCTCAGGATTTGGGGACATGCGGGGAAGGAGATTAAAAACATTAGGCTTCCATAATAAGTGTAAACAGAATATGCAGAATTTGTTGCCTAATAAAGAAAAAATAGAAAGTAACAACTTCACCCCTTGACTAATTCTAAAGCAACTTTAAAGGGATGGAGCTTATACACTGACAGAAAAACTCGCAATTGCAATCTCAAAACTTTTAACACAGACCAAAATAACACCGTAGCAAACACTCACATAATTCAGAGCTCTCAGAGCCAGCCTGCCTTGCTAGCTCTTCTCCTTTCACTCAGCTTCCAGAACCTGGGCTGAAGAAGCAGCAGCCCAAGAAAGCCCAGCCAGACATGCCCCTTCAATTCAAAATACACGCTCACTGCTAACATCAATTAGGACCTCTTTTTCCTTTCGTGTAACTTCTAGGCAGGTACTCCTGCTCTACTCTGCCATACAACATACAGACCTACTGATTCAGGACAGATGGAGGTAGAGCAATCAAACTGCCTGCAAAGCATACCTGTGTTTGGTTGCAGCTGAGGCTTCAAGCCTCTGGAGAATCGATTTTCAGAAGGGGGAACCATCTAGGTTTTACACCCATCAGCTTTTGGGTGCACCAATCAACCCCTGCCCATATATAAACTCAGTAAAAAGTGGGCAACACCTTCCTTTCCTCCAGAAAAAATATTTTCTTTCCTAAAACAGGGACTCCCACATGTAGTTTGCTCCCTTCCTATCACACCCAGAGGAGTAGAAACAGCTCCCTAACTTTCCAAACTAGCACCCCAACATCATAGCCCCTTCTTCCCCCATGCCCTTCCAATTCATAAGCATCCCACTTGCAAGCTTCTATGCACCAACTTCACATACAGAATATCGCTCTCTGATACTGTTTCAGCATTCATTTACAAACTGTGTTATTAATGGCAAAGAGATCTTGGATGGAAAATCCCCACCTTTAAAAAGCATTTGATTTTCAATGCATTTGAAAAGCAAACAAATAGAAGTTTCTCTATCTCAATGGAGAACAAGAGGTGTCTCCTGTGAGCTAAAGAAGGGAATGTTACATTCACTGGAGAGGCACTCCTGGTCCAGAATGATCCCCTTCTGCCTAACTCACTAATTTCTTCTTTTTTTCCCTCTTCTTGTAGTCTGGAAGGCTACTTTGTGTCCCCTTCTTTAGTGCTACTGCGTCCCTTTTGCCAGCAGAGTACCATAAGAGGAGAGATGAAGAAGTACGCAGAGCACACTCTAAAAGGTTCTGTTAATGCATTAAAAAAGGTCAAGGGAAAACTCTCAGGCAGGGTCTAAGCAAGTTCTATTATTTGTGCTTTCTTTTTTTTGCTTACCATGAGATGCCCCAAAAGCATTAGTAAGACCTTATCTGCATTCTGCTTTAGTCAACAGATGCTCCCCTAGTCCAAACCAACAGCAGGCAGATTCAGACAACACATGACATCCAGGCAATCAGACAACAGGAAGCCAGTCAATTAGCAGCAACAAACCCCATTTCCACACCACCCTTTGCAGTACACACTGAGCAGCAGACTGAAGGCAACAGCCTTCAAAGAACAAAGTCCCTCCAGTTCTGATGATTAGACCAATGCACCCGTGCTATCGAGACACCAATCACAAACAACAAATAACACACAGTCAACATACAGCAGAGAAAATTCACTGTCCAACTATCAATAGCTAACTAGCCCTGACTATTGTCGTAAGACTGCAACAACTCACTTCAACATGGAACTAGAGATCTCCACAAATGGCATGTATGGAGAACCACAACTCCAATTAATTGAAGAAATACATTAGAAGCCATTTCTAGAGGCAGATTTTCACCTAAATCCAGACAGAAATGGAAATAAATCCTTGATGTTCTCCACTTTAAGAAGCTCATAGGATTCAAGTTTTGCCTGTGCGCCAGCAATGGAGATCTATGTACAAAGAACGACATTCAACAAGAGCTTCTCCTCACACTCACAAACAGTACTGTTGGCAAAAATAAAAGTTGCAGTTGTCCACATGTTTTTGTTAGGGATACCTTTTCATAATCAAGGCTTCTCTGGCTGAGTCCTTTTAAGGACTTCTTGCAGCTGGTATAATTATCCAGGTACTATGACAACATGTGTAATATTACAATGTGTAATATGACAATTAGCCTATGTTAATCTTACTCAATAGTTGTCTGGTCCAAAACTCCTGTTACTGGGATCCCATAGAACTGTTGCATAGTTGCAACTGCAGACTGCACAGCTTTTCCCGACTGCAAGGCAGACATCTGGCTGTCAGATGGAAGTAAGTAGCCGTAAGTTTTTAACCAACCCTGAAAAAGAAAGAAACAGATGGTAAGATGCCACGGTAAATTTTCAACTTAACAGATCAGAACATTTCATCAAAAGAAAAAGTGATGAAAGCCCAAAAAACTCAACCACCTCTCTTTTTTTGGTTAGGTTTGGTAATATCATCTGATTCCTGGGAAGAGCTGAAGACCCAGCTTAATATCAGCTGTCCTGATGGGACAATGCAGACCTGCCAATTAAAAATGGCTGTCGTCCCTAATGAGTAACTGGGGCAGACTTGGGCATTTCTGGTGCCTAAGACGCTCTGTCCTTGTTCCAGGGACCTCCTATGCACCCTGTCACCTTGCTATCATGAGATTTCTTAGTCCTCATAGCAGCATACTCCCAATAACCCACTGCCCAACACCTACTGCTGCCTCTCGACCACCACTCCAAGCAAACAGCTTAACAGGCCTGAGCAATCCCCACAAACACAAGTTCAGCTTTATGCTTACACTGAGCACAGGAGTATTTCTTTCAAAGAAACCCACACAACCAACAAAAATACACACTGGGAAAGTTTGCAGGGACTCTGGTTAGATGGACTTTTCCTCCTCATATCTTTTCCTTACCTGATAGCAGATATCCAGCAAACTGTCAGAACAGGAAAACAGACAACTCTCCTCAAGGAGCTTTGTCCCTTTCTCTGCCTCCCCCCTAAAATGCAGCCTTAGACAAAACCACATGTCAATCTTGTCAAAACGCTAAGGACAGCATTTTCACAAACACCCATTAATTCAAGATTTATTTTTCCTCCCCCCTTTCCACTCCCCCACACTTTCATACCACGAGAAAAAGGAATATTAATTCACCATTAAGTGCACATGCCAATAAAACATGAACAAAGGCTTGCTTGCATAAACTTTTCACCATAAATTTTTATGCACACACCCCAATACTTCTTTCTTCTGGCCAATACCGCAGCCCTCTGATTCAATACTTAAATCAGGATTACTGTAAGATCGACATATAACCTGTAAGCTTTTTCCAGCCACGAGGACAATCCACCTGAGCCACAGGACACAGTCCTCAACACTCAAGAGCTGATGAATCACCTGTGAACACTGCTCTCACACTGACAGCCTGATCACTCAGAGCAGGGGGGAGAGCAGAAACACATCTTCCCTTAACATAACACAGCAGCAGGAAAGGGGCTCAAGTCAGGAACACACAGAGAACAATCCCCATTTCTTTGTGGCAACAAGGAGATACCAGGATCCGTTAGGAAAAGAGAAAGGCCTTGCTTCCAAAGCAGGAGAAAGAAGGTATAAGACAGCATCTAGTCCAGGCTTACTAGAGTTTACCAAGTAAATGGACATTCAGCACTATTCAACACAGGCATCACAAGTGGCTCAAGGCAAAGCCAAACTGCAAAACTACTTGGAAACTGGACACTTGCTACTATTGCCTTGGCATCTAGCTTTGGCCTCTGACAAACAGTGTGCTGGAACACGCAGACCTTCAGTCTGACCAAAATAAGCTGCCCATGAGCATCAAGGGCAGAGCACACTAACCAAAGCAGCTCTGAGTGAGGCTACCCTCGCATAGCCCCCTTCCCTCCCAGCCAGATTCAGACGCGGCACCGGGCAAGGGAACGGGACACCACACGATGCCTGCCTGGGCACTAAGAGAAGCTCCTCCGGGAAGCGCACCCAGGAGGGGCACATCTGACTTCGCCTGCCGGTTCCCGACCTGCCCTGGCACAGTCAGGGGAACTGCCAGCGACTGTGGCCGCACACCTGAGGCCAGCCCAGCAGAAGCTACCAAGACCGGCCGCTTTGGAGGGACGAGGGCCTACAGGAGATGCAGAAAGACTTCTGGCGGGCTGTAGCGCCCAGGCGTGGAGACGGGTCCGGAGCCGGGCGCGGAGCAGCCGGGGAGCTGCTGCCCACCCGGCCTGCCGGCCCGCCCGCGGGCCAACACAGCGCACAACCCAGGGCCCACGCTCCCGGTCCCAGCTGCGGCACCACCGGCCTCGCCGCCCCGGCCCCGCTCCCCTCAGCGCCCCGCCCGGCCCCCCTGCCCGCTCCCAGACCCACCCGGCCCGTGCTGGTGTCGGCGGCGGCGCGGAGCAGGGCGCAGAGCAGCGGCAGCAGCGAGCCCGCCGCCCCCAGGCCCCGGCCCCGCCTCGGCGCCATGGCAGCGCGGCGGGGCTCCGGCCAGCGCTCCGGCGCGGGCCGCGGCTGCGCGGGGAAGGCGGAAGGGGAAGCCGGCAGCCACCGCCCCGCCTCTTCCTCCGCCGGGCCGGCAGCGGCGGGCGGGGGCTGCCCCAGCACGGCGCGGGCGGCCCTAACCCCGCGGGAGGAGCTCAGAGCCGGCCACCAGCAGTCCTCAGTGGCCGTCCCTCCGAGTTTTTTTTCCCACGCACCCGCCTCTGGCTGCAGGCAGGGGAGAGCGTGGAGGGGCTCGCAGCAGCGCCCGACCCTGCTTCAGCACCAGAGCAGATGCACGAGGCTGAGGTCTTTCTCTGCGGGCCTCCTCTGTCACGACGGGGTGGTGTCCTGTTCCCTACCAAGGCTGCTTCGCGTTGTCTTTGGCTGCAGCGTGAAGATCTTTACCAGACGTGTGTAGAACCCCGGGGGCAGGAGGCCAGCTGTATACACTAACTCATAACGAGCCAGAGGAGAAGAGGAAAAGTGGGGCTGGCAGCTTGTTGCCCGGTGGTCCTGTCCTGAAGCTGTCCCAGCCTGAAAGGAGGTGGCATACTTCCAAGATGTGCACCCAGGTGGAGGTGTTACCGGAAAGTGGTAATTAATTCACACTTTAAGACTCAATTTTGGAGTTTTAGAAAGCAGGCATTCTTTATTACAGCATCAATCACACAGGGGATAGCTCCTCCTAGTGTGTGAAAATGAAATCAACAAGCATTTATACTACCTTAATCATACATATTCTTCGCATTTTTATCATATTCATAACTTTTCTGGGAACTCATGTAGCATATGTTAATATTTCTCGCGTATGTCTGTTGGAGTCTTCAGGTGGTCATTGGGGGTCTTCAGATGAAGGCTCATAGTCTTCTTCACTGTGTCTGCCAGTTGACCCTTACTTCTGCTCAAACTCAGTCCTGTGGTCACGTAGATCTTGTCCTTTAAGGCTGGCCTGGTCTGATTTTCTTGCTAATTTGCAGCTTCTTTATGTTTCTTTGCACCCGCCACTACAAGGCCAAACCGTCTCCAGTAAGATTATTTATGAGTTCCTTATCCTACAGTTATTCTAACTGTTCCTCAAAAGATCAGTATTCTGCAGCTCAATTGTTAAATGGTTAAAACATCTTAAATTGATCTTAATAATTCTATTCCACAGATACCTATTTTCTAATAATCTTAGTTCACAGGTATCAGAGGCATGGGTATCTGTGCTACCTCAGAGAGACCCAAGGGCTTTGTGACACTCCATTTCTCTCCTTTGTTTCACTCAGGACCAAAAATGATGCCTCGTGGTGACAGGTTGAAGGAGTTGGAGGTGGCTGTGGATTACAGCCCCCTCTGGTCCAGCCTCATCGATTTCAGAGGATCTGAAAGAGCAGTTGGTATCGGAGGAGAATCACGGACTCCGGCAACTCTATGAGTCAGAAATCAAAATCCATTTATTGCCGATACAAGTGCGTTTATAAATCTTCCTAGTAACCGATCACACATAAACAAAAGGCTTGATTGGTTACATGCATTCTTCACACACTGTTCACATGCCTAAGACTAGCATTTGATTGGTTATTACCTCCTGTCCATAATACACCAGACAATTAATTTGCTACAAGTTAGTTACTGCTATCCTAAAGCCTATTGGTTAATTAAATCTTACAAGCACAAACACAATGTTCTATACACTTTTAGCTCAAGGTAGAAAACTTTCCACTGTTTAAGAAATGACCAGATGTTCCACATCAACCGTAGCCTGGCATGTTTTCTTTAGGCAGATCTCAGAATCCTTATCTTGTTTTTCTACATTACCGCTTGCTACTTCCAAGGCTTCTGGCTGACAAAGGTCAAGATGTTCTCATCATTCACCAGCTGCACAGCACTCTCAGTTCTTCTTTTTGCATCCCTTCTGTGATGCAACCAAAGTCTTGCTCTTGTCTGATGTGGCCATTGTCCTCCAAAAACAATCCCACAGGTAGCCTGCACTTTCACACATGCTTAATAAATTATTTTTATCAGGCATTTTGTGTGGGGGGAGATGCTGTGCTGCCAGGCAAATCTCTTGCTCTGTCATTGGCTTAACTATACTGAAACCAGAAGTTTGACTTCATATCTGATGGGAAGGGAATCTTGGAGCACTGCCCACAGCCAGCCAGGCACACAGGGCAGTTTGGCTGACAAATCTGAGCTGTGCAACAGGCGTCAGTGCACCAGGGATGTGCTTGGAGCTGGAGTAGTACTGGGCCTGGGAATCCCAGGCCAGAAGGTGCCACTGCTCCCCCAGAGAAAGTGAGGACACTGAGTTTTAGAAAAGCAGGACAGAGATCTAATCTTTTTGGCAAAGCAGCTTTATGGACATGCTTTGCTGCATGAACAGCCAGTGCTGGCCTTTTTCCTGCTGACTCAAGCTGACAGCAGTTCAGGTCACATGCAGCAGCTATGCTCAGGATAGCCTCTGCCCTGTCTGCAGAAGCTGGCGGGGAACTCTTTGCCAAGACAAGCCAGCAGAACTCCCCCGCCCTCCTCAATGCTGCCAATGCCAGGCCTCTATTTTTTTTTTTTTTTTTTGTCCAGGGAGAGCTCAGGCTGCCATTTCTATTGAGAGCACAGCTTGTGCTGCCATTTCTACCCACTGCCTTGCTGTAGCAATCCTACTTTTCCCCCACCATTGCTATTTTGTCAAACCATCTCATTCACTATCACACTGCAGCTCTTTGGGAACTGGAGGAATTGTAGTGATTTTTGCGTACAATTAAGATATAGTAGAATTTAGACTAGACTAGGCTAGACTAGACTAAACTAGACTAGAATACAGAATATTTTCCGTGGAAGGGACCTACAAGAATCACCTAGTCCAACTGCCTGACCACTTGAGGGCTGACCAAAAGTTAAAGCATGGTATTAAGGGCATTATTCAAATGCCTCTTAAACACTGACAGGTATGAGACATTGACCACCTCTCTAGGAAGCCTTTTCTAGTGTTTGACCACTCTCTTGATAAAGAAATGCTTCTTCATGTCCAGTCAGAACCTCTTCTGACGCATCCTTGAACCATTCCCATGTGTTCTGTCACTGGATCCCAGGGAGAAGAGATCAGCACATCCCTCTCCATGTCCCCTCTTCAAGAAGCTGTAGAGAGCAATGAGGTCCACCACTCCAGCCTCCTTTTCTCCAAACTACATAAACCCAGAGTCCTAAGCGATTCCTCAGAAGACATGCCGACCAGACCTTTCATCGGCTTGGTTGCTCTCCTGTGTATGCATTCAAGGACTTTCAGATCCTTCTTAACTTTTGGGGCCCAGAATTGTACACAGTACTCAAGGTGAGGCCGCACCAACGCCGAATACAGCTGGATATTCTCCTCTCTCAGCTGGCTGGTTATGCTGTGTTTGATGCACCCCAGGATGCAGTTTGCCCTCTTGGCTGCCAGGGCACACTGCTGACCCCTCTTGAGCCTGCTGACCAACATCACCTTTCTGCAGGGCTGCTCTCCAGCCACTCCCCTCCCAATTTATACTTGTGCCTGCTGTTACTCTATCCCAGGTGCAGAATCCAGCATTTGTTCCCATTAAATTTCATCCCATTAATGATTGCCCAGTGCTCCAATCTATCTAGATCCCTCTGCAAGGCCTCTTGTCCCTCAAGAGAGTCAATAGCACCTCCCAGTTTGGTATCGTCAACAAACTTGCTAATGGTACATTCAACTTCTGCATCCAGATCATTAATAGAAATGTTGAAGAGCACTGGCCCTAGAATTGAACTCAGGAACACTGCTGGTGCCTGGTCTCCAGTGAGATGTAGCCCCATTCACTACAATGCTTTGAGCTCTGCTCCTCAGCCAGTTCTTCACCCAGTGCACTGTGTACCTGCTCATCTCATGGTTGGACTTGTGTGCAGTGGCTGGAAGAAAATAGGCATATTATGAGCGATCCAGACCGAGGGGCCTCACAACTGCAGCTGTTGTGAAGGACATATGCAAGGTCGAAAGAGATAATGAAACTGGGGTTTTGAGTATCTATGTTGCAGAGAGGTAAGGAAGATGGAATGTAAGAAACAAGATAACAGAGGGAGAAACAGAATGTAGGTACGGCAGAGCAAGGCGTGTGAGCAAGCAGCTTTAACCTATTAGCAACCAAAATGTAACGTGTGTGCTTTGTGCTAGTGTATAAATTGCTGTGTGTCCTTTAATGAAGTGGCATTAACTTGATCACACTGATCGTGCGTGTTGTGTCCGAGACTTCCGCGTCAGACTTGTCCAGCGGCTGCTATGAGGGACAGTATCAAAAGCCTTACTAAAATCCAGAAAAGCATCCCCCTCATCCTCAGGGATGTTAACTGAAAGCCTTTGGAGAATAACAACATCTAATCGCACATTATTCAACTCAGTCAGATCTGGGAGCTCAAGGATCCATTGCCTGCATCTGTGCAATCACTGGCACAGCACTCCTAGTTGAACAGAGTAAAAAAATCTAGTGCTTGGACATCCTCCAATGGTACAAGTTACACAGGCAATGTCACCACAGCAAATACATCACTGTGAGCTGATTCTCCTAACAATGGAAAACAACACTTAAGCAGTGTAATACACTGAACCCTGCTATTCTCCTTTACCTGGGGAAGGAACTCCATATCATGATTGTGTAGTAATAACCTGTTAAGCTGGAAAGGCTTGAGGAGATTTAACAGTGCCATTTCTAGATCCCAATCTGGAACTATTTGTAGGTAGGTCCTTGTGTTATCTGAACAACAACTGTGTTATGGGTTATTCAATAACTACAGTGAATGAAATAGTGGAAACTTCATCACACAGTGAAGCTGAGTGCACAAGCAGCAGAGTTAATTGCATTAAC